GTTACTTTCCTATTTCTTCTACATAAAGAATGTTTTTGTCATATTAAAAATGACACTTTTTTTAAAATTAAATAACGTTAAAATAATTTGAATTATATAAATTGGAAAAAAAATGTATTTGTGTTTAAATGTATGAGATGTTTTCACACATGCACAAAGATACACACATGCTTGTGTGTGTGTGTATATGTGTATACACAAATCACATGTATCACAATTATTTTTAAACTTTTTTTTTTAACATGTTAAAGTTTTTTTTATTAGGCAAATGAAAGTGCAACAATATATATTTAAATGGCACTCAGAAACCTAAAATAATCTTTTCACAATAAAATTGTTGGTAAAGTAATTAAATAAAGATTTTATTTTTGCAACAAGTTATTTTTCATTTGTTACTCACTAACTTTTTAAAAGCAAACGATAGTTTATAGTTGCAAAGCCGCAATTATAAATTTAAAAATTAATATTATAAAAAATTAACATATTATAATTTATTTATACAAACATCTAGAAAAGAAAGAAATACTTATCATAAAAGCAGAAGAGAGGTTATCTGTCTGTGTTTCTGTGGACATTTTCATTTCCCAAGGTTAACTAGATAACTATGTTGCATAGAGAAAAAGTAAAAAATTAAACTTTGTTTATAACTGATCTGAAAGGATCAGTTATAAACAAAGTATAAATTTTTTTTTAATTTATTAACAAAAATAAATTTAAAAAAATTAATTCGATAACGAATAATGTTTGTTTTAGTGAAGAAAAAAAAAAATTTAATATTGAAAAAAAAAATGTCTTTCCAATTTATTTTGATGTTTATTGACGTCAAATTCAACTTTTGATTAAATATTATCAGGAGTATCTACTAAAATGTAGATATATAGGATATTTTTAGGAAATGTATATGTGTGTATATATATATATATATATATATATATATATATATATATATATATATATTATACATACATACATACATACATACATACATACATACATACATACATACATACATACATACATACATACATACATACATACATACATACATACATACTTACATACATACAAACATAGTCCCTTGGAATTAGGAAAAATGAAGTCAACAATATTTTGCCATCCTCAAACACTTTTGTCAACCACCTAAATTCTGAGGGTTGTATATATATATATATATATATATATATATATATATATATATATATATATATATATATATATATATATATATATATATATATATATATATATATATTTATATATATATATATATATATATATATATATATATATATATATATATATATGAGTATATATATATAACTGTTGCAAACCACCAACTATTTACTAGCTATGAGCTGGCTATGTTGTAGCTATATATACAGGTTATGTTGTAGCAGGCCTTGTTTTAAATTAAAAAATTCTCAATGCATCAACTTAACGCTCAATTTCTTAAATGTTTTACGTAATCCTAAAAATGTTTTACATTGTAAACAAAGAAACACAGAGCTATGGAGAAAAATTGTTAACTATTTTTAAAACAAAAAGCTTTTTCAATACTTCTATGTGCAAACTTAAAAAAATACTCAAATAAAACAAAATAAGTATATTTAATAATTTGAATCGTAACTGTATATAATAAACGTTCGTTAAAATTTGTTCATTAGAAATTAAGTTCCTTAACTTACAAACAAACGCAAAAGTATTTTCATTTTATGTATAATTACTAAACTCTTTTTTTTGTTTGTAAGCAATTTAGTTAAGAATAATAAAATAAAAAAAGAATAAATATGAGGTAATCTTTGTTAAGAACAAATTTAATTTATTTATTGAACAATATTTTTATTTATATACCAACTTAAATAAAATATACCAACATGTTAAAATATTTTAACATGACTTGTGTCATTTATAAACCGTAAGGCACCATTGGTTTTGGATAATATTTTATTTTAATGAAGATCACATAACGTACATTTGATTTTAATAACGTAAGTCTTCTCTTTTTTTGTGATAGTTTCAATTCATAAGGCATTGGCAAAGTCCCAGGATTTAAAAGTTTTCAAAGTAAATCTTTTATCCTTCAAAATGCAATCCATAATCAAACTTTAAACAATTTGGAGAATGGAAATATACTAAATTTTTATATACTAGTTTGTCTTATTTTATATAGAAAAATACATAGTCATTAGTAAAGAATAGAGACTGTCATTAAACTAAAACGTGCCTTAGTATTTATTTAACAGAGTCTGTAATGTGCGCATGCATAATGAAACCTCTGTTATATAAATATATTCAAGGTAATATTAGTGTCTTCAATGGATGTTATAGTCTACTCGTGATTTCTTTAACTTAATAATATAACTTGATTTATAAAGGAAAAAAAAATTTATTGAATTGCACGCAGAAGAAGTAATTTTTTTTTTCTTCTATGCCGGCCCCCCTCCCCCCGCATAACTTAAAAGTAAAGATACCTTTAACTAAGAAGAAAAGCAAAGAGTAATGATGAAGAAGTAATTGTTAGCAAAATAAAAATAGATTGTTTGTTCATTGGCACATTTTTTTTGATATCTCCAAAAAATTTCTTGATATTTTTGTTATCATAATAACAAAAATATTTAAAAATATATATATATATATTTTTTTTGAGATATTAAAAAAAATGTGAATTCTTAACTACAAATTTTTTGCAAATGTTTTTAATAAAAATTCAGTAAAAAACTATTAAAAAATCTATATTGCAAAAAATATATTCTGTATTAATAAATTTGGAATTAAGATTTTTTTAAAGGTTTTTACTGAAAACTTTTTAAAAATTACTTCTTTTCGTTAAAAACATTTGCAAAAAATTTGTAGTTAAGGATTGACAAACTTTTTTCATGTTGCTAAATATTTAGATAAAAAGTTTAGCGTAAAATTAATTGCTATAAAAAGTTAAGATAAATTATCGCAATGAAAAGTTACTACAATTATTTTTAACGTAACTTCTTTTTTGTAACAAATATTTTTACATATCGTTATTCAAAAGTTAATGTGGTTTTTTTAAAAATTAATTACTTCTTTTATGTTACCGCTAATTTAAAAGTTAAAAAATGATAAAAAGTAGCTTAACCAAAACCGCTCTATGCGTACGTCAAAGTCACTTAAGGTGTACGTAAATCGCTCTAGGCGTAACGCTTTAAAACAAGGCCTGTTGTAGTATATGAAGAGGTTATGTTGTAGCATATTGTATATGTTGGACAGATAGCCAGTGGAATATTTAGTACCTATAAAGATATTACGCTATTTAAATACAATTTAGTAGACCATATAATAGCTGTTTAATGGGCTATGTAGAAGTTATGTCCTAGGAAGAATAAAAAATAATTAAAGCAAATTTAATAAACTAACTAGTAGAAGAACACACATAATCGCATAAGAAGCTTTAAATTTGCTTTAATTATTTTTTATTCTTTCTAGGACATAACTTCTACATAGCCCATTAAACAGCTATTATATGGTCTACTAAATTGTATTTAAATAGCGTAATATCTTTATAGGTACTAAATATTCCACTGGCAAAACAACAGCCTTAGGACTGCCACAAAAAAAATCAACAGCCTTAGGAATGCCACAAAAAACAACAGCCTTAGGACTGCCACAAAAAAAATCACGAAATGAATCCTCAGCTTTGGGGTATTAGTAAGTAGTGTGTTGATGGGAATCTGAAGAAGAAATATGAGATAAAAAGGTTTATAAAGATCATTGCATATTTTTTACTATGCGATAGTGGTGTAGTGGTAGAGCACTTGCCTCATAAGCGAGAAATTCCTAGTTCGATCCCCACCATGTCCCTGGTAGTACTGCACTCCAGTTGTTTCTCTGCTTAGCTGCCTTGTTTATCAAGTCTTTGAAGTTATAGAGTTGAGAGAGGGTTTTAATCGCAACTAGCAGTAGCCTCCTCAATTGTAATGATTTTCCTGGCCTTGGTGAGGTGATTTAAAAACAAAAACAAAAAAAATGTTCTGAACTACCTAAAAAAGAATAAGGATAAAACTGAACACAAGCTAAAATCAGAGACAAGACACAAATCAAGGAGTGAAATTAAGTGATTAGGGTTGTCTAGGAAACACAAAGTTGATCTGAGTAAGAGATTGAGAAAATCATGGGCTCTCATGGGAAATCATGGTGCCAACAGAGCTATTTGTGTTAGAGCCAAGCCATTCAGTGTGATGAATATTAAAGTCACCAATAACAACAATATTGGTAGAGGGGTAAAGAGCATGGTATATTTGATCAGAAATCACAACAGAATACAGTCTTAATAAGAATGAGAATGATTAATAACAAAGAGAAGGGTGATAGAGGGATGAGGTGCTAAGCAGAAGCACATAAAGAATGGTCAAAGGATTTTAAGCTGATTTCTCTACAAATAGGTGAATTAATAGATAAGTATACCGAAGTGAAGCATGTGACTATTGGAGTCTTTGCAAATCAAAGGATAGTACCCATTAGTATTGAGATCTGAAGAAGGAACTGCCGAATTTAAAGTAGTCTTACAAAGAACATGCAAGTCTGCTGAGTTTTGCAAGAGGAACAATTTAACTAATGGAATTTTACTTCTAAGATCACAAACATTTGTAAAAGGTATATTGAAACAGTCATTGTTGCAAAACATGGCATTGGTAATACTCTGATATTTTACAACTGTTGATGGAATCAGCTTTTCTTAGAGCTTAGGAAATCACAGAATTAAGGAGACCTCACTACCAGCCAGCCTTGGAACCATTATACTGAGTTTTAGAGCTGTACTTTCATTAGGAGATAACAGGAAGAGTTATATAGCCTCTATCAGGGAGGCACAAGCAAATTTCTATGAGTTGAGTTGAGAAGATCCAGCATTTATTAAAGCAATAGATTTATTCTGCTTTATAAACTTAAATTTTAAAAACTAAACTGTAAAGTCTCTGTCTAGGAGGCCTAAAAGACAGTTCTACATTTACACCTACAAGAAACTTCTACAA